CCTTTGTCCTCGGCCAGGGTGGCGCCGATCCCCTCAGAGATGGCGACGACCAACTGCGAACTGGCGGAGACCAGCCCTTCGAGCACCTCGACCTCCGATCCAATGGCGTGAACTGCGTTGTCGTCAATGTAAAGAGCGTACGTAGTACAAATAGGCCATTCGATCTGGTCGAGGGCTTCCAGGCTGTTGACTCGAATAAGCGTCGTTGCAAAAGAGCAGCCGGCCACGATGCCGAAGCTGGCGAAACTGGCGTCCGTCATGAAACCACCTAACACGATGTGACGCGCACATCTGTACGCTGAACAGCAGAGGCGCGCCACCGCAGCGGGAAAGCCCAAAAGCAGACACCTGCCCAGCATACGGTCGAGATCTATGCTTTCATAATATTTCTGAAAATCCCACAGCAGAGTGACGGCAAAGAGGCCAGCGGCCACCCCCCCTTCACTCCGCGCAGCTTGTCGCCACACCGTGTCAGCAGCTCCCATAAAACGTCCCGCGGCAAACCAAGGCCTGTAGTTGGCCTCCTCCCAGGCCAAACCAAGCGGCCTCCGAATTTTAGCCCAGGCCCGATAAAGGCCCCCGAACAAACCAATGGGTCTGAGACCTGGAAGAGCTTTGGGGATCAGGTGAAGGATGACAACCCGAATGTGAGAAGGGAGAAAAGAGGAGATCTCCATCATCTGCATAATGAGAGCCAGGCACTGCAAGCTGGCTTCAGACAGCCAGGCAAAATGGCGGATGTGGAAGCCGTCCGTCGAGACGGCCGAGAAAAGTTTATGCTTCCCACAGACACTCCTTATCTCATCAGGGCTGATGGGAGGGAGATCAGGGGCAGGATCGAAGGTGGCGGGAGGTGTCGGGGCCGACACCTGGGCCCTCCAGAGGGCCTTGAACCTGCTCTCCTCACGCTGAAGAAGGTTGTGGGGGTCGCTAACCACACGGTCTCCATCAATGAGGGTGGTGGTGGGCACAAAGGATTTAGGATCACGAGTAACCAAGTGGGCCCGCTTGGCCCCTTTATTGAACCCTTCCAAAACCCACTGCTTCCAGGGCGCCTGGGAGGCCGAGCGAGTTTCATGGATGGTCTGGTCCAGGGCTCCACGGATACGATCTTTTAAAACTAGCGCCACCTCCATGTCCACCGTGCTCGGGGACAACTCGGCCTTCGCAGCAAAGGCTTGAACGTCACGGAGCAGCGACGCGCGCTCCACCGGCGCGCTCGAGATAGACGCCGAAGGCTGGAGGAGAGGCTGAGTGGCCTCTTCAAGCGGCGCTCCCTGGCTGAGCAGCCCGACAAGCACCTGAAAACGCTGCCAAAGCCATCTGGTGGCGAAAAGGGAAGGGTTGCGAGGGTTGCGAACGTCCTGATCCATAACCGAACGCCACACCAATTTGGGGGGCTGGCCTCGAAGGCCCATCCGCGGGAGGTCGACCCCAGTGGCACGAGTGAGTTCGACTTCGGCCGCATCGGCCCATTCCCCATAACACTGGTCTAAAATCACCTGCGTGCGCAACCCATCGCCAGATCGAGCAGTGTCGACACCGCTCTGAAGCTTGGCAAGAAGGCTCGCCAGGTCGGGGGGGGCCAGCTGCGGACCCACCATCTTCTCGACAGGGATCCTAGGAGGCTTCCTGAACGCGAGCGAACGCAGCCGTCCGATCTGAGGGAAGAGGGTAAGCCGAACGGGCGAGTGAGGAGAGAGGTCGGATGCGGAGATCACCGAAACCCCCCGAATAGCCGAACTAAGGCCTCGACTGCACACGAAGAAATCGCTTAAACGTAAACCCCCCGTCGTCGTACAGGTCCCCGCGACATCAGGAAAAACTACCCGTCCTTCAGATCGAACGTCAAATCCTGACTCTTGCAGCAAGGCCGGGTGGAAATTAAAGTCGCCGCCAATCAGCCAAGATGAACCACAAGATGAGACTGCCGCCCCGAGGTCGGCTAAGAGCGTGCTGTTGGGCTCTTCCAGCTTCTTACCGTCCTGCATGTAAACCGAGAAAACCGAGACCTCCAAACCCCCAGGAATCTGAACGGCCGCGCCCATCACGCGGTGCAACAACTTGGAGACGTCAGGGAGACGATGGAGGCCCAGCCAACTGCGACAAAGGATAGCAACCCCTCCAGACGTACCTCCTGACTCAGACTCCAGGGCTGGCTCCCACAAACTTTTCCACCCCGCTCGAAGGGCCCAGGCAGAGGCTTGGAGGATGTCCTCCTGAGAGGCTAAGTGGTGCTCTTGCAAAACTACAATATGGGCCTGGGATCTGGAGAGCCAAGACTTGCCTGAGGATTTCCACCCCGACACGTTGCAGGTCTCAAAAGATAAGGCGACCGCATCAACGTGAGGAGGGGTATCCTGGGCAACAAAGGGCTTCACATAAACAGGGTCCCGAGGTCCAGGCAGAGAAGTGATCTGAGCAACCCTGGCCTGAATCGCGTGACCACGCTTGAGACAGGTAGGGCCACTCGAGCAAAACTTCACTCGCTCTTGCCTCACAATCTCCACAGGAGGCCGAGCTGAGATGGCGTCAGCCAAAGATATAAACATCGGGTGTACGTGATACTGTGAGGCTTCGGCCGCAACTCTGCTAGGAACTCTGTTTGCCAGTGCTGGAACCACCAGCCACAATATTGGCGGCAGCACGCAAAGTGGCCGACGAGCTGTCAGCTGATGAAGCCCCGTTCCCCCCACCCGTACCGCCCGCTCCCCCTCCCTCAGAGGCAGCGGCGTCAGGCGGCGGGGCCGCGGCGTCACCTGGCTGATGAGGAGGTACCTGGGCAGGTCCACCTGCAGGCTCATCGCGACGACGACGCTTCCCTGCCAGACGTTCCAGCAGCGCCTGATGATCAGCTTTTGCTCTCTCCACCGCAGCCGCCGCCTCAGCGAAGACCTTCGTGGTGGCCTCCTTGAGGCCAGCATTGAGCTGCTCGACCAAGGAGTCTGCTGCCTGCTTATCTTCCGTGGAAAGCTCGTACTCGTCATCACCGAAAGAGAACATATCGCCGAGCGTGATAAGCTCGTGTGTCTTGCCGTCCATAATATCTTTGACCGTGACCTGAGGCTTGGGCGGAGGTCCCGCCTTCGGCCCCGACTTCTTGGCCAGCTCCGCAACCAAACGCTGGTGCTCCAGCTCTGCCTGCTTGTACTCGTCGTTGGCCACGACCACAAGCTTGCGCTGTGCCTCCAAAGACTGCTCCAGGTTGGTGAAAAGCGTGACGTTCTTCTGTAGGCGTTGTTCCGCGGCGCGAAGGGTGTGGAAAGCTTGATTGACTTTGCGCTCCACTGGCACCTCAAGCACAGGTGCTCTCCTCGCGTCCAGAACAGCCTGAAACTTCTTTGCGCCGACTGCATCGCCGGCCTTGCCAAGGCTGGCCACCAAGACCTCGAGCTCCTTGTCATCCATGCCACCAGCATCGGGTAGGGGCTCGGCTTGGGGACCATCAGGTGGAGCAGGGGCTCGACCACCAGGAAACACAGGGGCCTGACGAGGCAAGCCGAAGAAGCCAGGTGGTTGAGCAGACCCAGGAGCACCATATTGCCAGCCAGGGGCCGACGGGTAGTACTCGCGCGGGGCCTTGCAGTGCTTGCAGAAAGCGGCGGTAGCAGCGCTGCGACGGCATGGGCACTTGGCGCATGCCCATTTCTGGCCTCCACCTCCTGACGGCTGGTGTGCGGCAGCTGGCCCTGGCCAGAGTTGCGCTCCAGGCTGCAGAGGAAGGGGAAGCTGAGGTCCAGAAGGCACACCAGCAGGCTGATCACCACGCCAAGGAGGACTATGCGCTGATCAACGCCCTGATGCCCACTGATACCCCATCGCAGCTGCCTGTGAGGAATCGTGGAAAAGCTCGGGAGGATAGGGCCTCCCGCCGAGACACTTTGGCCCGCAGACGCGAGCCGCTCTGAAGAAACGCGCCTGCAAAACTCAGCTTGAGCGCAGAACGGCTAGGAGGAGGAGGAGGAGGAGGAGGAGGAGGAGGAGGAGGAGGAGGAGGAGGAGGAGGAAGGGAGAGAGGGAGAGGGGGAGAGAGAGAGGAGAGAGAAGAAAAAGAGAGAGAGAGAGAGAGAGAGAGAAAAGAGAGAGAGAGAGAGAGAGAGGAGGAAGAGGAGGAGGAGGAGGAGGCGGAGGAGGAAGAGAAGGAGTAGGAGGCGGAATGAGGAGCAGGAGGAGGAGGACAAGCAAAAGGGCCTGAGGTCTCTTGGATGCCCCTCGGAGCCTCTTGGGGTATCTCTTGGACGCTTCTTGGTGGCCTCTTGGAACGACTTGGGTGTCTCTTGGCGGTCCTGGGGAACTCTTGGGCGTCTTGGGTGCCTCGGGGGGTCCTCTTGGGGTCGCTCGGGGTCCTCTTGGGGGCCTCTTGGGGGCCCCTTGGGGCCTTCTGGGGCCATCTTGGGGCCATCTTGAAACCTCTTTGGGCCTCCCGCCCCCCCAAAGGCCAAAATGGCGCCCAAACCCTGGTGAAACCACACGACGCCCTCCCCGCCCGCAAGCCGTATCGCTCACTCACACCCGCCCTCCCAACACATACGTAGCACCCGAGCCTGGCCCGAGCCGCAGCATATGCAGCAGCCGTCGTTGGATGGGCAGCTACTGGGGGCGCATCCGCCGCCGCCGCCGCCGCCGCCGCCCGCCGCCGCCGCCCGCCGCCGCCGCCGCGCGCGCCGCCGCCGCCGCGCCAGCCGTCCGCCGCCGCCACGCCGCTGCCCGCCGCCGCCGCCGCCACCGCGCGCCCGCCGCCGTCGCCGCCGCCGCCGCCGCCGCCGCCCCCACCACCGCCGCAGCCGCCGCAGCCGCTGCCCCCGCCGCAGCCGCCGCCGCCGCCGCCAAGTGTACTCTGGATTGTTTTTTGCCAGGGATGGTGGGGGGAGGCCGCGTCGGGTTCGCTGCGCATGCTCCGAATTTGGTGGCAGAGTGTGCTTCTTATCGTTTTTGTGCCAGGGGTGGTGGTGGGGGGGCCAGCATGGACTTGGGTTGGCTCCCAGTCGCTTGGGGGATGGGGTGTATATTAATAGGGAACAGTGATCAAGACTCCCTCCCCTCTCGCAAGCCGTTTCGCTCACCCCCACCCGCCCTCAAAACACATACGTAGCACCCGAGTCTGGCCCGAGCCTCAGCATATTCAGCAGTGCTTCTGGATGGGCAGCTACTGGGCCAATCCGCCGCCGCTCCGCCGCCGCGCCGCCGCGCCCCGCCCCTCCGCCGCCGCCGGCCACGCGCCGCAGCCGCCGCCGCCCCGCCGCCGCCCCGCCACTGCCCGCCGCCGCCGCCACCGCGCCGCCCGGCCGCCGCCGCCGCCGCCGCCGCCCCGCCACGCTGCCGCATCGCTGCCGCCGCAGTCGCTGCTCGCCGCAAGCGCTGCCGCCGCAGTCGCTGCGCCACGCTGTCCGCCACCGCCGCCGCCGCCGCCGCCGCCGCCCCCGCCGCCGCCGCCGCCGCCACCGCCGCCGCCGCCGCCACCGCCGCCGCCGCAGCCGCCGCAGCCGCTGCCCCCGCCGCAACCGCTGCAGCCGCCGCCTCCGCCGAGTGAAGTTTGAATTGTTTGTTGGTAGGGATGGTGGGGGGACGCCGCATCGGGTTCGCTGCGCATGCTCCGAATTTGGAGGCAGAGTGTGTTTTGCATTGTTCTTTGCAAGGGATGGTGGGTGGGGGGGCCCGCATGGACTCGGGTTGGTTCCCAGTCGCTTAGTGTGTGTGGGGGGTATATACTAATAGGGAAACCCTTTCCCGAAAAGGGGAATGGAAGAGGAATCCCCCTTAAACCACCTACGGTTAGAGGGCTGGTGGGATTTTACAGATAAATTTGCGCGGCAATAAAGCGAGAACCACATTTTGAAAACCACCCGCCCTCCAGTTTAAGCTTCCGGGTCAAAAATTGCGAGGAAGTCTCAGGCGAAACGCCCGGCCCGCCCTACAGGCTGGCCTCGTGGTGCGACAGGGATAAATTACTCATGAGGACAAGGAATGGAGGTGGAGGCGGAGGCGGAGGCGGAGGCGGCGGCGGCGGCGGAGGAGGAGGGGGAAAAAGAGGGGGAGGAGGAGGAGGACGAGGAGGAGGAGGAGAGGGAGGAGGAGGAGGATCAGGAGGGAGGAAGAGCAGGAGGATGAGGAGGTACGCGGAGGATTTCTCCTCTGCCCCTCCCTCCTCCCTCGCCCTCGCCCTCGCCCTCGCCCCCGCCCTCGCCCTCGCCGCCGTCGCCCTGACAAGGAGGTCATCAGCGAAGAGCACTCGCGGCTCCAGCAGCTCGAGGGGGACGCCCGCGCCGCCAAGGACGCGCGCGCGGGCGAGCGCTCGTCGGCCCTGCCTCTCCAGCGGCTGCCGGAACCTCTTCGTTATCGTCCTCGTCGTCCCCTCGCCGTCCTCGTCTTTTCAGTCGCCCTTGTCCTCGTCCTCGTCCTGCTCGGCCTCCTCCTCCTCCTCCTCCTCCTCCTCCTCCTCCCCCTTCTCCTGTGAGCCTCTTCGCCTCTTCGCCCTCGTCCTCGTGCTCCTCGTCATCCTCTTCTCGCCGCCGCCGTCGCCGTCCTCGTCGTCCTCCTTGTCCTCTTCGGGGGGGCGCCCCAGGAAGGCCGCGGATGAGATCCCAGCGGCCCCGCATCCATCTTAAACCGCAGGGGTGCTGTACGGTAGGGGCCACCGCCGCCGCTGCCGCCAATTCGTCCCCGAAGAGCCCTTGCCTTTCCTGCCTCCTCCACTCGACACGGCGCGGTGGCCCCGCACGCTCCGCCCGCGAGCGCCCGGGGCGTTCCGTCGCGCGCCTGGTGCGCGCGCCGATTGGATCCGATCCGATCTTCCTCGTCTTTGGCCTCTCCTCCTCCTCCTCCTCCTCCTCCTCCTCCTCCTCCTCCTCTCCCCTCCTCCTCCTCCCTCCTCCCTCCTCCCTCCTCCCTCCTCCCTCCTCCCTCCTCTCCTCCTCCTTCCTCCTCCTCCTCCTCCTCCCCATCCTCCATCCTCCTCCTCCCTCTCCTCCTCCTCCTCTCCTCCTCCTCCTCCGCCTCCTCCTCCTCCTCACCTCCTCCTCCTCCCTCCTCTCCTCCTCCTCCTCCTCCTCCTCCCTCCCTCCCTCCCTCCCTCCCTCCCTCCCTCCCTCCCTCCCGCGTCACGGCCCCCTAGGCTCCCTCGGGGAGGGACCGGCACCCCCGCAGGGGACCTAGGGGGCAGGCCGGAAGGAAGCAGTCCGCCTGCTAGGCCACGGTGGGCCTGCAGGCCGCTGGAATTCCGGCCAGGCAGAGGCAAGGAGGGGAGAGGAGGAGGAGGAGGAGGAGGAGGAGGAGGGGGGCACTGTCGCAGGGGCGGCCAGGCACAAGGAGAAGGAGAGGAGGCAGAGGCGAAGGGGAACGGGGGGCGGATGAGGTGGCCGCAGAAGTCGTGGTGGACGTCGACGTCGCGGGGGCGGGGGCAGGGGCCGAGGGAGGGGCAGGGGCGGTCGTCGTCGTGAAGCCCTTGTCGTAGTCGAGGTGGTCGTGGCAGCGGTGGTCGTGCTGGTGGCGGCCTCAGGGCAGTAGTCTGGCCCTTGTCCTGGTCGTGGCGCTGGCGGCGGTCGCCGCGGCGGTGGTCGTGGTGGCGCTGGTCACCGCCGTACTGGTTTAGCGCCCGAGGGCGCTCAGCAGCATCTCAGCATTCCCCCTTTGGAGGGTCCTGCTGATCTGCCGCCAGAGGCCGCTCAGCAGCTCGGAGCGGTCGGCGTCGTCTAAACCGGCTCCGTAGCTGCGGACGAAGCTGGCTGCTTCATCGCTGGGGCGCCCCCCCGTCTCGAAGACAAGGGGGACCAGTTCTCCTCCGTGCGGAGGGTAGCGCTCCCGCTTCTGCTCCACCGCCTGGGCGGCCGCCAGCCCATCCCTCTCGGCCCGGGCACCCCTGCGTGGAGCGTACGTTGAGTGTACGCAGGTGATGCTCCAGTCCATAAAGATTTGGCGGCCGCTGGCTGGGTCGAAGGTGGAGAGGTCGAGCACTGCTTGTTGGAGCTCGCCCGTGCGGGGATGGCGGCGGTCCCAGGCCGGGACGGCCTGCTCCGTGGGCGCCGCGAAGCCAGTGAGCTCCTTGTGCTTCGCAGAGTGCCAGTCGCGGCAACTGTTGTGGCGATTGTTGCGCGACGCGCCCACCTCGCACTTGGCTGCGTGCCAGCCGTGCGGGTCGAGGGGCTCGTTGCAGAGGCTTCCGTCCTGGCGACGGTGCTGGCAGCGGGACCCAGGCGGACAGACTGGGGCGCACAGCCGGCATTTGAGGTTGCCGCAGAAGTGCGCGTTTGGCTGGCGTGGGTCATTTGGCTCGCGCGGGAGGAGCCAGCTGCCCGCTCCAGTGCCCCCGCTCTCCCTCAAGCGCAGGCGGTGGTCCTCGTCGTACTCCTGCAGCAGCTTCGCCCTGTTGGCCGCGGAGGCTGCCCTGGCCCAGTGCCCCTGCAGCTTTGGCTGTGGCTCTGCTGCGCACCCAATCCAGTCGAAGGGCGCCTGGAGAACGTCGGCCGCCCGGAGCGCGGCCTCCGCCTGGTCGAGCGTCTGCTGCGTCCGCGGGCAGCGGGCCCGGAATTCCTCCAGCGAGTTGGTCCCGAGGCAGGCCATGACGTCGTGGAGCAGGAGAGCCCAGCTGGCGGCGTAGGCGGCGGGCGCCGTCAGGGTAGCCAAAGGGAAGGCACATCCGCCGTCGGCAAGCCGCAGGGTGGCTTGGAGGCGCTGTTGGCCGTCCAAGGGTGCGTCAGCGAGTTGCTCGAGACAGCCGAAAAGGATTCGGTCTAGTTGCTCTGTCCAGTCGCCCTGCAGGTTGGCGCGGAGGTGGTGCGTGACGCATCCGCGCCCAAAGGTCAGGAGAAGAGTGAAGGCGTTTTCAGCCCGGAGGCCAGCCTGTCGCAGCTCTTGCAGGCGCGCAGCAAAAGAAGCGGCCTTCGCAATGGCTGTGGCCCCGTCCAGCCCTGCGTGGACTGTCACTCTTTCTTCCTCCTCTCCCTCCCCTCTCCGCTCCGGCTCAAGCCACGGGGCCGCGTTCCCCAGGCAGGTGAGGTGGTCCACCCAGCGCCTCTGGACGGTGGCGGGCAAGTGGCCGCGCCCTCCAGAAGACCAGGCCTGCGTCTTCGTCTGGTTGACTGCCAAGCCGTGCCGAGTAAGCGTGTCCGTGACCACCTGTATGGCTGCGCCCGAGTGCTCTGGCGGGACGAAAACCATGATGTCGTCGAGGTAGCTGAAAACCCTGCAGGCAGTCGAGAGAGCTTGGAGGCGCGTGTAGACCTCGTCAAGTGCGTCTGCGATACCAATGGCAAAGAGCGCTGGCGAGAGCGGACACCCCTGGTCCACACCGCTGCTAGCCCGAATGCGGTGGGCTTCGTCGGTTGGATCGTCCCACCAGTAGTGCTGCGTAGTTCCTGTGAGCCAGTGGTGGGTGCACTGGAACAGCCGCGGGGCACGCCGGCGCAAACTGTCCAGCACCGTGCCGCGGGGGATGCTGTTGAAGGCGTTAGAGCAGTCGAACGCCAAAGCGACTCCAAGCGGGCACGCCTCAGAGAGGGCCGTGAGGCACTTGTGCACGAGCTCGCACCCCGCAGCGCGCCCCACTGCATATTGGTGCGGGCCGACAGCGCCTTGTATATCGTCTTTGTAGACGTCGCACGCAGCTCTCGCAGCGAGCCGGCGGAGGACGGTGCCGCAGGCAATCGGCCGGAGGGTACCGTTCCGCTTGCGCTGGGCCAGCAGCCGCGCCCCCAGGTTAGCCCGCGTGGCCTCTGGGCTGAGCTCGCTGAGCAGGAAAGCGACGGTCACGCCGGCCACTGCTTCCAAAGAGGGGTTGTCGGCCAGGAGCGTGCGCCAGTGCTCAAACCGACTCCCGTTTGGCCCTGGTCCAGAGCGGCGCGGGCTCTTCGCTAAGCTCTTGGCCACGGCGGTGGCCAAAGTTGCGCGGGCGTCGCCGTCAGGCGCGGCCGGCGCCTGTAAGAGGTGCTGCTCTGGTCCCTCTGGGAAGAGGCTCTGGAGGCCAGCCTGGACGCCAGGCCCGGAGGCCAGCGCGCTGGGGCGGAGGGTTCGCTGCAACGCCTTGCTGATGAGGTGTTCGTCTAGAAGCGACTCCACCGCTCGCGCGTCTTGCTTGGCCGTAGGGGCACTGCCTCCTCTTCTCGGCCCGGGGCTCGTGGTCGCAGTGGACTCGCGCCAAAGCCCTCCCCAGTCCCCTTGTTCAGCCATCCGCAAGCGTCTCGTCAGGATCCGGGTCAAGCCGCCAGAGTTGTGCGCTTTCTGACCCCCTCGGATCTTCCCTGGCTTGAAAAGGAGCAGTCGGTCGAAGAAAGTGAAAACTTTCTCCGCCTGGGCCTGAGCGGGAGCGTCGCCAGAGTCCCTCGCGGCCACTCCTCCCTCCCTCCCTCCCTCCCTCCCTCCCTCCCTCCCTCCTCCCTCCTCCCTCCTCCCTCCTCCCTCCCCCCCCCCCCCTTTTTTTTTCCTCTTTCCCTCCTCTTCCTCCTCCTCCTCTCCTCTCCTCCTTTTCCCCCCATCCTCCTCCTCCTCCCCCCTCCCTCCTCCCCTCCTCCCTCCTCCCTCCCCTCCTCCTCCTCCCTCAGCCTCCTCCTCCTCTCCTCCTCCTCTCCCCCTCCCCCTCCCTCCTCCTCCTTCCCTCCTCCTCCTCCTCCTCCTTCCTCCTCCTTCTCCCCTCCTCCTCCTCCTCCTCTCCTCCTCCCCCCCTCCTCCTCCTCCTCCTCCTCTCCTCCTCCTCCTCCTCCTCCAAGCTACTCCTCCTCCTCTTCCTCCCCCTCTTCCCTCCTCTCTCCTCCCTACTCTCTCTCCTCCTCTCTCTCCTCCTCCTCCTGCCTCCTCCCTCCTCCTTTTCCTCTCCCTCTCCCTCCTTTTCCTCCTCCTCCTCCTCCTCTCTCCTCCTCCTCTCCTCCTCCTCCTCCTCCTACTCCCTTCTCCTCATACTCTCCTCTGCTCATCCTCTCCCTCCTCCCTTCTCCCTCTCCCTCCTCAATCTCCTCCTCCTCCTCCTCCTACTCTCTTCCGCTCCTGCTCCTCCTCCTCCTCCCACCTCCTCCTCCTCCTCCCTCCTCCTACTCCTTTCCTCTCCTCTTCCTCCTCCTCATCCTCATGCTCCTTCTCCTTCTTCCACTCTCCCTCCTCCCCTTCTTCCTGCTCCTCCTCCTCCTCCTCCTCCTCCTCCTCCTCCTCCTCCTCCTCGCCAGGATACCCGCATGTGAGCGTCTCGACAGGAACCGCGCTTCCCCACGTCAACTTTAGCGCCGTGCTCGACGGCCACCTGCTTACCACGCAGCAGGTGCATCCCTTGGATAGAGCAGTGCAGCGGCAAATCCTCGCCTTCCCCTCCTCGCCCTCCTCGCCCTGCCCCTCCTCGCCCCCACACCTCCTCCCCCTCCTCGCTCGCTCTCCCTCTCCCTCGCTCGTTCTCCTCCAAGGTGTTCGGTGCAGCCCTGATCGAGCGCGTCCCCGTGCGCGCGGGGGCGCGCCAGGGGCGGCGCCGACGAGCGCGAGCGGCAGGGCGGGCAGGGCGGGCAGGGCGGCAGGGCGGCGGGCAGCGCCGACGGCGGCAGGGCGGCAGGGCGGCAGTCAAGATGCCGAAATCGGGGCCACTTCGGCGGCGACGAGGTGGCTGAAATCAGGGCCACTTCGGCGGCAGTCAAGATGCTGAAGTCGAGCCCGCCGACGGCGGCAGGGCGGCAGTCACTTTGGGCTCAGGAGTGGCTCTGGTCGTCAGGCCGTTCCTGAGATCTGGGTCGGGGAGCCCGTTCGAAGCCGACACCAGCCCCTTGGTTCCTCATCGGGCGTTCTCTGAGGTGGCACGACGAAGGTAAGCACAAGCACTGTCGGAGGTCCGCGCTGATCTCTTGGGGCTGCGCTGGATCCCCCGCGGCGGCGCCTTGGGCGCCGCCCACGGCGGGCTCGGCGCGCCAGGGAAGAGGGGTAGAGCGCCGATCCAAGAAGTTCGCGCGGACCTCCGAGGGCCGACGGTTGATGTTGCTGTTCCCCGAGCAGTGCTTGCACCGGGATCCCATTTGTGGTCTGAGGGGCTGGGCCTGGCCAGTTCTGTCCGGCGGTTATGTTTTCGCTGTCGCCGCCCGTCGCCGCCTCGTCGCCGCCTGTCGTCTGCGCCTGGCTGGCGGGCTGGCGGCTATGTTGTCGCGGGCTCCGCCCCGTCGCCGCCTCGCATTGAATACATGGCTCTACATTGCTTGACATTGCTCTACGTTGCTTTGCGTTGCGTTGCTGAGCATTGTTCTCGCACTCAGGATTCCAAACATTCCCCCCAACCAGTGCTTGCACTGACGTACTTGTACTTATTTCTCTCCTGAAGACCTGGCCTGGCTGTCGGTCTGGTCGGCTCGTGGCCGCCCGTCGCCACTCGTCGCCCCCTGCCGGGCCTGGCTATCGGTCGCCGCGCTCGTCGTCGCCCGTCGCCCGTCCGTCGCCGCTGCTGCTGCGCCCAGCTGTCGCCGCGCTCGTGGCCGCCCGTGGCCGCCCGCCGCCGCCGCTGCTGGACCTGGCTTTGGCTCACCGCGCTCGTGGCTGTCCCTCGCCGCCGCCCGCCGCCGCTGCCAGCACTGCTTCGCTTGGCACTGCACTGCCATGCGTTTATTTGCATTGTTTTGCGCCGCTCTGGATTTTCTTGCACTGCTTTGGGTTGCTTTGCCCTGCCTTGCGTTGCACACATTGGTTGCAGCACTTGGATGGCAGCTCACTAACTGCACCACCTACACTGCCTTGCATCGACTGCAAGAAGCCACTCTTTGGGGTCCACGCTGGCTAACATCGTGTTTTGTGTGTCTACCTTCACTCAAGCACTCATGCCATACGCCGGAGCGCGTGGGAAGACCATGCCAACCTATCATCACGACTTTGCGGCAGTGGCGGCACGTCGACGGTTGCATGATTTCGTACGCGGCAGGAGGAGGGAGGAGGAGGAGGAGGAGGAGGAGGAGGAGGAGGAGGAGGAGGAGGGGAAGGAGGTGGATGAGGCGGGGGAAAAGGGTTGGGAGGGGGGATAAGGGGAGGAAGCACAGAGGCAGCGAATGTAAAAGCGTATAAATGACACTGCCCTCTGTCCAGGGCGCAAGGCCTCGCCGCATGGTCGAGTGCATCATGTGTATCATTTTGTTGCATCCTGTGGTCAGACGCCGCTGCAGTGGTTTCAGCATGGTCATCCAGAGGTTTGGCATCCTCGGGTGCATCTGAGATATCCGATACATTATGTTTCTTTCTCTTTCCGATTGACCCCGAAGTTCGTTCCCCCATCCATTGGGCAGCTTCTTCGCCGCGGGCAGTCGTTTTGAGTAGTCTGGGGTCTGGAGCGGGCCTCTAGAGGCACAGACGCAGAGAAGTTGCCCGTGCTGCTTTATGTTAGACGCCATTGACTTGGTGTTGCACCGCGACTATGGGTTTTCGTTGCGCGGAGGGGCGGGGGCCGGCGCCGCGCCAGAGGACGCGTACTGCGAGTCGCTGAGGGAGCTCGAGCAGCTGAGTTCGCCAGGGCTTCGGGAAAACGGGTGTCCCTCTCTTCCTCCCTCCCTCCCTTCCTCCCTCCTCCCGGTCCTCCCCCCTCCCTCCCTCCCTCCCTCCTCCTTCCTCCCTCCCTCCTCTCCTCCTCCTTTGTCCTCCTTCCTCCCTTTTCTCTCCTCCTCCTCCTCCTCCTCCTCCTCCTCCTCCTCCTCTCCCCTTTCCCCGTCCCCGCGCCCAGCCACAGGCTGAGGCCACCAGGCCCCAGGCTTGGCCCCGTCTGCACCCCAGCAGCCCCGGGGGTTCGGCCGAGGCCCCTGCGCCGTGTCCGGTGAGGCGACGTTCCTGGAAGAGCGCTCACAGAGCGCGGCTGCGGCCATGCTGGGCCTGTCGGGCCGGGCCAGTCGGTTCTGCTAAGAAATCTGCCCGGACCCCCGAAAGCTGATGCTTATGCAGTTGTTTTTTTCCTTCTAGTAGCTAGTACGGTCATCACAGTCGGTGGCAGGTTGCCGCGCGTGCGCGGCGTTACAGACAAGGCCACGAGGTAAGCAAGCTCGGTGCGCGCTGCGGAGTCGGAGCTGACAGTTGATTTCATCTTGTCTGGGCACGTCCTGCAGTCGTGACCCCGAGGTCTCCTCCAAGACGGATCACCTCGTGCTTGTGGCGCAGGCGTGCGCTTATCAGGCGGCCAACACCTGCATATGGCTGCGCAGGGTTCCCGCTGCGTCCCTTACAGCGCCTACGTTCGGCGAGCACCGCGCTGATTTGGTCCTGGCGGCGGGGGACGACGTCGAGATAGCTCGACATGGTGGGACACTCCACGCCTTCGGCGACAGGCTCCGGCGGCGAGCACAGCGGATCCGCGCAGTCGCTGAGCTCGGGGGGCAGGCTTCGAAGTCATCGAGCCCTGCGGACGACGGCGGCTCGCAGATGTTAGGTGGCGCCGTCGCCAGCGTGCAGGGCGCGCGCCAGTCTGTCCCGAGAGCTCAATTACTGGCGTTCGCCCTTCTGCTTGAGCTCGCTTTCGGCTGGGTATGACATTGTACTGGCAAGCAAGCTCTGTATCTTGGCTAACTCTAGGGCAGGCGCTGTCGAATCCGAGGTTTGAATGGGGACCTCTGGGTCCGTATTCGTCTGGGCCTCGAAGATGCCGATGTGGTCCAAGTTGTTTGGATCCCGAGCCATCTCGACGATGGGCTCGCTAAGCTTGTCACGAACAGGTTAGTTTTCGGGCCGCGAGTCACTCCTGTACCAACGCTATGGCGGGTGTTGTGGCCTCCTTGGCCTGGAAACGGGCAGTGGTGGGTGCGGTCCCAGAGGACGAAGTCTGGGACGCCATCGTAGGACAGGTCCCACAGCGAAACCACAGAGCTCCAATCAGCACCCTAGCGGTGGACCCTCGGGAGGCCAAGAGACCTAGAGCTCGGGCCGTCTTGAAGTTTCGGTGTTTCCAAATAATGATTTCCAGCCGGCGCATCTGGGCGCCCCTCCAGGGAAGCCAACGATAATTGCGATACCGATAACAACGATGACGAGCACAACGATCACAATGATAACACCGATAACGATAACGATAACGACGATCACAGCGACAACGATGACAACGATACCAACGATCGGGTCGTTGTGCACGTCGTGTCGTGCTCTGGTTCATGGGTGCCGTGTCCTCGAGGCGGCTGGGACCCCCTGTGTGCCCCTCCCCGCCCCACGAGTGGCTGGAGGTATATGCCTCCCGAGCGGGGCCGATCGTCGCGGCTCCCTGTGCTTTTAGTCATTCTCGGAGGACGTCCAGCAGGCAGGTCCTTCCAGGCGCTACTGGCCAACCCAACACGAAGCTTGTACTTCTGTAGTGCCCGTGGCAAGATTGCCGCCTCAGTGGTAAGGCCCTTGCTCAGTGATGCATGCCGCCCCAACAGTGGAGGGGAAACATCTCCAACATTCCCACAAAGGATTGTACCCTGGCCATGGTAGGTTCGTGTCGTGTCGACGCGGCGGCAACCCCACCGCAGGCGTTCGAGGTTAAACGCCGCCAGCGGACCAGAATCGGCAAATTTGGAACGATCGGGCGATCGAAAAGCTGCCGATTGTTCAAAATTGAGAGATTCACGCGGTTTCAGAAACCAACGCTGGGATCGTCACGACACGAACCTGCCGTACTCCAGCTGCGTGGCCCCGCTGAAAGCGGCGGCCCAAGCAGGCAAGGGCTTTGCAGGCGGGCGTGGCGGGGAGTGGGCCCATCTTTGAAGCCCCAGGCGGCCCATCCAGCAGCGAGGGGTATGCTTAGGGAGTACATAAGGACATCACATCACCGTGGGTATACTCTCGTAGACTCGTTTTTTCTTTTTGTTTTTCACCCCTCCTCCAATGCAGTCACAGCAGGGCGTTTGTGGATCGCCCTTCTTCCCCCTCGTCCTCCTTCTCGTCCCCTCCTCCCTCTTCCTGTCCCCTCCTCCTCGTCCTGCTGCTGCTCCACCCCGCCTCCACCTCTTCCTCTTCCTTCTCTCCTTCTCTTCCCTCCTGAGTGCTAGTGGGCAGGTTGACTGCATTGGAGCGCATTCCTTGGAAAGAACGTTTCCATGACGCTCTGCCAGACGTATTGGTAGAGCGGGTCGGGCAATTCACCCGAGACGTCGGCACCGCTTGCGACCTGCGACCCTGAAGCTGCAAATCCCCTCTCGTTGCACGCTGGGGTCGAGTGGACCCCAAAGCGTGGCTCTCGTCTCGGCACCGGGCGCATTCGCCTGACAAGGTCGTGGCAAGTTTCGAGCAGCCACGCGGATGGAAGGCAGATCGTCTTTACCATGTCAATGACGCCACACAAACGGGTTCGACTGCGCGGACATTCGCGCGTGAGCTGCCCGCGTGAGGTCGCGCGCGAGCGCCCTCGTTTCCTCTGTGGCGTGCCGCGCTGGCGGCCCGCGTAAGCCAGCGCGTAAGGTTGCTATGCCACCTTGCGTACGACTCGGTTCTTTTCGTCGCCCACGTGGTTTTCGCCTCAGGCCGTGTCCATCTCTTTTAAAAAAGGTGCACTCATGGAGGGCGGCTCATGTTGAAAACGTCGCTTCAGTTTGCGCTTTCCCCATATCTTAGACCAGAAGTGTCAAATCGAGTAACACTTAAACTGGATTCTCGATTGACATGTCCTTGAGCTCTCTGATCCCACCTCGTGGCAGTTCTCGTGCTTAACGAGGAGGATGCAGGGTGGTTCCTTTTCAGAACGGGGCTCTCGCCTGGTCGCCAAGGGGTGCCCGTCGTGCAGAGAGGTTGCTTTCAGGGGCCATCGGGGACGGGCAGCATCGTTGACGCGTCCTGGATTTGTTCTGCTGCATCCTCCCCATGTATCCTTTTTCTTCCGTCCTTTTATTGGTCCTTCCTCACATTCCTCATTTGTCCTCATTCTTGATTCTTCCTTCCCCTTTACTGGGTCTTTCCTTATTCTTCCTGCCCTCCGTGTGATCGTGCTCCCTCGCGTGGCAGCACGTGCGGGGAGGGGCTCCCGACGTGAGAATTCTCGAATCGGGGGTGTCGATCAACTGCACTTCGGGTCTCCGATGCGGAAATATAGGGAGGCATTTCGGGGTTGTTCCTTCCTTCCTTCTCTCGTTCTCTTTTTTTTTTTTTTTTTTTCTCTCTCTCTCTCTCTCTCTCCCTCGGCCTACCCCTCCTCGATCTTTTTCCTCGCTCTCTCTCTCTCTCTCCCCTCACTACCGGTTCGAACCCCTCCCCCCCCCAGTTCATCATGAAAAGGGGGGGGGGCACTACTGGTTCGAACCCCCCCCCTCCCCCCCCCTCGAAAACCGGGGGGGGTCACTACCGGTTCGAACCTCCCCCCCCCTCGAAAACCGAGGGGGGGTGCAGACAGTGGTGGGGACGGTGGTGGTGGGGACAGTGGTGAGGGGACAGCGGGACAGTGGTGGGGACAGTGGGACAGTGGTGGGGGCTGTAGTGGTCGGGTGGGGACAGTGGTGAGGACAATGGTGGGAACAGTGGGGACAGTGGACAGTGGTGGGGACGGTGGTGGTGGGGACAGTGGTGTGGGGACAGTGGGAGGTGGAAACAGTGGGACAGTGGAGGGTACAGTGGTGGTGGGGACAGTGGTGAAGGCGGTGGCGAGGACGGCGGTGGGACAATGGGACAGAGGTACAGTGGGGACAGTGGTGGGGACAGTGGGGACAGTGGTGGGAACAGTGGGACAGCTCAGTGGGACAGCGGAGGAGTCAGTGGGACAGTGGGGACAGTGGGGATAGTCGGGCAGTGCTTGGGGCCGTGGAGAAAGTGGGGAGAGTGGAACCGTGGTGGGAACAGTGGTGGGGACAGTGGGGACAGTGCGACAGTGGTGGGAGCACTGGTGGGGACAGTAGGGACGGTGGTGGAACCAGTGGGGACAGTGGTGGTGAGGACAGTGGTGCTGGGAACAACAGTGGGGGATGTGGCGCGGACGGTGGTAGGGACCGGGAGTCGTTTGCTGGCGGTGAGTGGGGGGGGGTGGGGAGGGGTTCGAACCGGTAGTGATCCCCCCTCCGGTTTTCGAGTGGGGAGGGGTGGGGGAGGGGGAGGGGTCGAACCTGTAGTGATCCCCCCGGTTTTCGAGGGGGAGGGGGGGGGGGGGCAGCAGGGGGGGGGGAATTTTCGGAGGGGCGGGGGACCCCGGGTTCTGGAGGAAGAGGGGGGCAATTTTCCAAAGTAAAGCGGCGGTGGATCACGCTCTCTCCTATATTTCGGACTCCAATCCCTGGTAGGCATCATCGCCATCGATGTTGTTCACTTCTCGGGCGTGCCAAGAACTGGAGAAGGTGGAGGAGGAGGCGGCGCGAAGTAGGCGATGCATCGATCATTGCTCGAAAGCTCTTGCCACAATTCCTTGTTCGATTCCCCCAAACAGTGCTTGCACTTCGGGGGTTCTCACTTCTGATCTAAGGAACTGGACCCGCCTGCCGGTCTGGTGGCTATGTTGTCGCCATTGCCGCCCCGCCGCCACCTCGTCGCCGCCCGTCGTTCGGGCCTGTCTGCCTGTCTGGTGGCTATGTTGTCGCCGTCGCCGCCGCCGCCCCGCCGCCGCTTCGTCACCGCCCGTCGTCTGGGCCTGTCTGCTGGACTAGCTGTTATGATGTCACATGGGCTTCGCGCATGCGCGCATGTCGAAATCGTTCGAACGCCCTTGCGCGCGTGCTGTCGCAAGAATCCTTTGCAACAAATGGGGCGAAATGCACGCGCGCGCGTCGTCGCGCGCGCACGCCGCAATCCGTCAAACAGTTTTTTCGTAAGGATTTCAAAGCCGAGTGCCCCGAAACCATATACAAACGCATGGTTTCGCAACATCAGTTTTCAAAAAAGCCTGCGTTCGCGCTCTTGCGAATTCTTGAATCAATACCATCGGTTTTTCAACGTGTTCATGGAATTCTGCCAAACGGACCTCTCGCGCCTCATGCCGAAATCATTTGAACGCCCTTGCGCGCGTGCTGGGGGCGCACGATCCGTGTCAAATAATAACATGTGGGCCACTCGCGCGTCGGCCGCGCGCGCATGTCGAACTCCTTCCAAAACCTTCATCACCGACGCGAAGACGCCGTCATCGTCGTCGGCTTGATCAGTATCGGCACCGTCACCGGCCATGCCGTCGCCGGTGTCATCATGGTCACCAGCACCGGCATTATCATCATCATCATCATCATCATCATCATCATCATCATCATCATCGCGTTTACCTTTGTCGACGTTGCCAGGATACCGCGCCCGCCCAACTCGCCGACTCGCAGTGAAGTGCCCGTTGGGATGCGCGCAGCGGTCAGCGCCACCGCGGCCGCGCCTGTTTCGCCAAACTAGCTGGCCGCTGCGCGCGCGAGCATGCACGGGCTAGCGCGGCCGCAGATATGCACCAGCCAACACCAAACATTCATCGCAATCGCCGCCGCATGGGTTTTGCACACCAAGTTGCGGGTGCGCGGGTGGAATGGTTGCGCGAGCAGCGGAGTTGACAAATTATTGCGAACAGAAAATATTTGACCACATAGATTGCACCACATATATTGCACAATATACAACGCATCATATATAGAGATTGTTCAACCTAGATTGCATCACGTCGATTGCACTATGTCGATTGCACCACATGTAAAGCACAACGCAGAATGTATTTCATATATTGCGCCACGTAGGGTGCCCCACGTAGGGTGCTCCACACAAACTGCACGACTTATATTATTCGACGTAGATTTCCCGACATAGGGTGCACCACATAGAGTGCGCAGCAAAGACTGCACCACACATATTGCACAACGGACATTGCACAACTCTATTGCGCAACCTAAGTTTCAACACATACATTGCACCACGTATGTTTCGCCATGTAGATTGCACAACATGTTTTGCCAGAAGCATACTGTTTGGGGTGAGCCCTGGCTAACATGACCTCAGTGGTATGTGTGAATTCAGCCAACCTTTTCCATTTTACCCCGCGAACAACGTTCGGTACAAGACGCTGTCCACTCTGCAACGCGCTTGTCGGACGAGGAGCTGTAGCGCTGTGGCGGTGTGGGCATGCCCAGGTGGATGTTAAAGAGTGGTGTTTCTCAGTGAGTGTTGTTTCACGTCGGCCATTTGCAGACCCAAGGCGCCGTGTTCAGAATTTGTTGATCGTCTTGAAATCAAACCAAAAGTCGGATTACAGACCAGCTATGAGAGCACGTTCCACGTAATCGCGTTTACTTAGCTATGATTTTCCATGTGTGGCTTCTCTCTCGCGCGCGCAGCCCAGGTGACGGAATGCACACAGCGAGGAGACAGCTCGTCGATGTGCGCTGACAAGTTGCAACCTGGTGCCCCAGCGCACGCCAATATTGGTTCTGCAACGTGTCTTTTCGACACACTCGATGTTAGAACGCTGATTCGACTTGGACGAATTGCGCTGCAACGCATTTTCGCCGCCGTGCTTGGGTCCACCCCCACCGTTGTCGCTCATAGTGGGGACGTTGGTAGGGCGGGAGGATGAGTAGTAGTGATAGTAGTAGTAGTACTAGTAGTAGTACTAGTAGTAGTAGTAGTCGTAGTAGTAGTAGTAGTAGTAGTAGTAGTAGTAGTAGTAGTAGTAGTAGTAGTAGTAGTAGTAGTAGTAGTAGTAGTAGTAGTAGTAGTAGTTAGTAGTAGTAGTAGTAGTAGTAGTAGTAGTAGTAGTAGTAGTAGTAGTAGTAGTAGTAGTAGTAGTAGTAGTAGTAGTAGTAGTAGTAGTAGTAGTAGTAGTAGTAGTAGTAGTAGTAGTAGTAGTAGTAGTAGGGTTGCACCTGGTCTTCGTGTCGCTACAAACCTCACCTTCGTGTAGTCTTCTTTTGTATCAGGCCTAATAGAACTCCTACCAGGGGAATTACGAAAACCGTAGTTTCAAACCTGGCCTTCGTGTCTTTCGCGCCAATGCCTGCCTTCGTGCGCTATTCGCTGTAGAGGCTGTAGATTGGATTCGTATTAGAAAGTGAACAAACAACGACAGTTTTACACCTGTCTTTCGTGTCGACGTCGGATTTGGAGCAACCGCCACTGCCAGCCGCTTCATTTCGGCACAACCCTCTCGAGGATCGTGGGCCTGGCCCTCCGACGCGCGATTCCGGCGCGCACTTCACTAGGATCGTGGCCCTGGTCCAAGTGGGAGCGCTGCCGAAGGCCCACCGACGTCCAATTCCGGCACGCCGCTCACGAGGATCTTGTCCTGGCCCACCTGGGAGCGCTGCCGACGGCCCACCGATGAGCAATATCGGCGCACCCCTCACACGTATCGTAGACCTCGCCACATGTGGATCGCCGCCCGACGCTGAAGTTCGGCGCACCTCTCACATGGATCGTGGCCCTGGCCCAATGTGGAGCGCTGCCGACGGCCCACCGACGGCCAATGCCGGACCACCCCTCACGAGGATCGTGGCCCTCTGGTCCACTTGAGAGTGGGTTTTCATAAGGACGTCGTTCTGGTTTTATTCGGGAAGGCATTTTGGTTTTATTCGTTTCTGGTTCGTGATGGTTAGGAGGAGGAGGAGGAGGAGGAGGAGGAGGAGGAGGAGGAGGAGGAGGGGGAGG